GGTAATCACACCAGGATGAAGACTTGCACTTGGCTTCATAAGGAGCTAGCGTTTTGGGGAGAAAGGCCTCCTTTCTTGGAAATCCAGGACTGTGCCAACTTGCCAGGGCCTGAGGGCTGGCCTTGAGCAGGGGTTTTCAAAAGGTTTCCACACTGAATATTTTTTACAAACAAAGCCTTACCTGAGGCCATTATATAAAACAGGTGGAAACTAAGCTGCTTGAGGCTAAGTGGTGCCTGTTGAAGGCGCCTGGGAGTGGGGACCAGAATCCCCTTTCCCCTGTAGCTCTAGGTCAGTGGTGGCGAACCTTTTGAGCTCGGCATGTCAGCATTTTGAAAAACCCTAACTTAACTCTGGTGCTGTGTCACATATAGAATTTTTTTTTGATATTTGCAACCATAGTAAAACACTTATATTTTTGGTATTTATTTTGTATATTTAAATGCCATTTAACAAAGAAAAATCCACCAAAAAAATGAGTTCGCGTGTCACCTCTGACACGCGTGTCATAGGTTTGCCATCACTGTTCTAGGTTCTGGGGAGATGGGCATTGGGGTTGAGGTTGGTCCTGGCGGTGGGATGGGGCAGCCAGGAGAGAGGGAGAGTCCTGGGGAGAGTCCAGTGGCTGATATTTACTAACTAGTACAGAAGGGTTTCAATATTTTCACAACTGCGTGTTCATGCCAGTGTGGCTGGGCCAACAGACTCATCTTTCAGAGCAAGAAGTCAGTCTATATAAATAAAATTGAAAATATGTCCTTGGAAAAAATCATGACTTCAACCTTTAATGTTCTCACAGTTTCTTCTTCTTTTCTTAATCTTGAAGGGATATTTTAGGGGAAGTATCTCTTGTCTAGAGGAAATATTTATTTGAATTCAGCAATTCTGTCAACTTCTCTTTTGTGAAATTCAAGTAAAATTAAATCTGAAATATGATTAAGGTTTTATAAAAGTATCTCTACCCCCCCCCCCCCCCAAAATACACAAAACAAAACATGAAAGTGGGAATTGGGACCAGGATTCTAATCCTGATTCTGCCCCCAACTCTTGCCCTGCAGGGAGGGCTTGCAATAGCGCTCTCTTGTGGACATTTTGAGAACAGCATCCTAGTAAGGGAGGAGTTGCAATAGTGCCCTCTTGTGCCAGCCAGGTGCAAGTGAGGTCTCGATAACCAGGCAAAAGGCTCTGGTCCCCAGGCATGAGAGATTATGCTATAACATTTGGAAGACACAAGAAACAGGTATTTCTTCCCCCTTCCTCACCCCTATGCTCCTTAGATGGCATGCGTTCATCTCTCTGGCCCTTCTTGTTTGCCAAGCCAACAAGACTGTTGGGCAGCAGCCAAGTCCAGGTTCTCCATATGCCTAGAACCCATCTGTGGGCCATGCGGTACTGAAGGGATTGCGTGCAGAGCCTGCCCCAAGAGCCAGTGCACAGGGGCATAGCAGGGCCCTCCAGGGGGCAGCCTCCCTCCCCTCCATGTTCTACAGGAGCCATCAAATGAAGATGCAAAAACAGACACCCTTGCCCCCACCCAACCCCAATTGCTCTACAAAGAAACCTGGTGGGATTGCCAATGTCAGGGATTAGTTATGCCATCTCCCCAAGGAAATGTTGGCCTCTGAGTCCCTTTCATGGCCAAATTGCAGAGGTCAATGCTGTGCAGCAGAGGGAGTGTGCAGAGTTTGAGCAGGTGATTAGCACTCAAGGCCTCATCCACAACCATCACACACCCTCTACCAGTTGTAATAAGTATTTGCCTACAACAAACAGGAGTATGCCTTTGTTTCAGAGATTCTCTTGGTTGGGAAGCAGAAAAGGGCCTTCACTCCCTAATATCTGGAGCTGAAAGGAGGACCATGCATTTGGATAGTGTGATCAGAGGGGATGACCTCAAATAGATGAATATTCCTTCAGGAGAAAAGACTCCGACAAGGAATAAAGACCAGCCAGGTCCACAGGCTTGAGAAGAGAGTGAGGGAGGGTGCAGGAGAGGGTAGAATCTAGAAGACCAGTGTTCAAACAAGGCTCTCCAAATAGGGGACTGTACAGGATAGAGCCCTATTATTTCTGAACTGGAATGACCTCTGTACACATGAGGAAACAGAGGGTCTTTGGAGTTTACAGCTTGCCCAACGTCCCAGAGTGGGCTTGGACAGAATTTAAGGACTGAGATAAGAATTTGGGACCCCTACCTTTCTGTTCAGATCTCTGATCCTGTCCCAGCTGCCTTCCTCATCAACTCCCTCTCTTCACCTTTCAGCAGTCCAGGTTCTGCTGCCCCAGGTTGTTCTCCCAGATGTTACTGGTGACCACAGCGGACCTGTTATTTTTATGTCAAATCTTATGCTTCCTGACCCCTCACAGTGATCAACCTTGCTTACAACCTTCTCCTCAAAACCCTCCTTCCTCGGCTTCCTGGTTTTTCTGACCTGCCTCTTATCCTACCTCTCTGGTTGCTCTGCAATCCTTTGCAAACTTTTCTTTCTGTGGCCCCTGAGCATGGCCCTTCCCCCTGGCTCTGCCCTTGAGGCCAGGTTCTTGCTCTCTAGTCCTTATCCCCCACTCACTCACGAAGTTTTAATTCCAAGGGTGACATCCCATCCAGGTTCTATGCCTCAGCGCTCTCTTCCACAATGATATAGCCCCCAGGATATCCCATGGGCACCTCGAACTCAACACTTCCAAAGTTTAGCTCACCATTTTCCTTACTCTAATAGCTTTTATTTTGACCTCTTAGATTCCCCACCTCTAAGACTAAGATTTCAAGATTTTTCAATGCCTGAAAAGTCCCTTCTATCCTTCTGCCTCAAATTTAAGGATTTCCTGTCATCTTCATTCAAATACTTTCTTAGCATATTCTCTGTGTCAGGTTTGGCTCCTAGTGCTGGAAGTGCCATAGTGAAAAAGGCAGGTTTGGATCCTGACTCTGATGGGCTTAAGGTTGAAAGGAGGAGACACAAATTTAAATAATTGCACAGAAATATCTATGTAATTTTTACTAAAGAACAGTACAGGTCTGTGACAGTGTGTGATTGTGTGTGTGTGTGTGTGTGTGTGTGTGTGTCTAACCTGGTCTAGAGGGCAGAGAAGTCCTGAACCTACGGAGCAGGTGTAAGGTATAGCAGGTAGCAAGCTCATCTCCTCTTTTGGAATTCCAGGCCTGTGGGAGGCAGAGTAATGCCCTCCCCCGCCCCAGAGATGCCTATAGCCTAGAACAGTGGTTCTCAACCTTCCTAGTGCTGCGACCCTTTAATACAGTTCCTCATGTTGTGGTGACCCCCAATTTCATTGTTACAAACTGAACATAATTAAAGCATAGTGATTAATCACCAAAACAATATGTAATTATATATGTGTTTTCCGATGGTCTTAGGCGACCCCTGTGAAAGGGTTGTTCGACCCCCAAAGGGGTTGCGAACCACAGGTTGAGAACTGCTGCCCTAGAACCTGTGAACATGTTACGTTACACAGAAAAAGAGAATTAAGGTTACAGATGGTCTTAAAGTTGCTGGTCAGCTGACCTTAGAATAGGGAGATTTTCCTGGACTCTCTGGGTAGGACCAATGTAATCCTTACAATCCTCAAAAGTGGCAGAGGGAGGCAGATGAGGGAGTCAGAGAGAAAGGGGATGTCTGGGAAGCAGGGTCAGAGAGGTGTTCTGTGGCCGGCTTTGAAGCGAAGGGGGCCATGAGCCAGTGTCTGTCATCTCTAGAAGCTGAAAAAGACCAGGAAGTGGATTCGCTTCTGGAGCCTCCAGCCAGGAACCCTACCTGCCCACCCTGGATTTTAGCCCAGGGCGGCTCTCCTGCCAGGAACCCTACCTGCCCACCCTTGATTTTAGCCCAGGGCGGCTCTCCTGCCAGGAACCCTACCTGCCCACCCTTGATTTTAGCCCAGGGCGGCTCTCCTGCCAGGAACCCTACCTGCCCACCCTTGATTTTAGCCCAGGGCGGCTCTCCTGCCAGGAACCCTACCTGCCCACCCTTGATTTTAGCCCAGGGCGGCTCTCCTGCCAGGAACCCTACCTGCCCACCCTTGATTTTAGCCCAGGGCGGCTCTCCTGCCAGGAACCCTACCTGCCCACTCTTGATTTTAGCCCAGGGCGGCTCACGTTGGGCTCCTGCAGTGCGGAACCGTGTGATAGTAAATGTCTGACCTTTAGGTCATTGGGTTTGTGGCCATTTTTCTCCGGCAGCAGTAGAAAACGAATGACCGGCCTCAACCTGGGCAACCCCATTCCTAAACCCGTTCCGTTTCGTTCTCCTCTGGACCCTGCATTGTTGGAGACCCAAGAGGACAGATCGGTGACAGGAGCCGGCACAGGGAGGACCAGGCCTTCAGCGAGAGCTCTGCCTCCGGGCTCAGGCCCTCAGGGAACTCTCTCCCCGGCGGCCTCTGAGCAGGATCCAGTTCGGGGCTCGTTTCTTCAGCTCTACCAGGAAGACAACGACGGGTGCTGCCTCACACGCATGGAAGACAAGCAGATAATTATCTCACCGTTCATCATATGACACGATGATTAATATTCATGTGCCGCCAGGAGGCCAGGTCCAGGGAGTTACCGAAAGGTCACTGGAGGGTAACCAAGGGCAACGCCAAGCACCCGGGCCAGGTGCCAGGGAAGGTGCCTCTTCCCCTTCCTGCCCCCTCCCCTTTCCTGCGGGGCAGCGGCTCCGGGACAAAGCCCCAGGGGATGGGGAGAGGTCTTGGCCAGCTGTGCCCATCACCCCCTCCTCCCCCCCCACCCCCACCCCGCTAGAGGTCACAGGGGTCCTGGGGGGGCTCCACCTTCTCCCTCCCCCTCCCCCCAGCACGCCCTCCCGCGCGGGCTGCCCTGCGTGGAGATGAGATCGGGCTGAAGTCAAGGGGAGTCGAGGGGAGTCAAGGGGAGGGGGCGCACGTGGTAGGAAGCCCCGGCCCCTGCCCCGCCCGAGTGCTGGGGGGAGCGGCGGCCGTGCGGGGAGCTGGCTGGCGGCCGGGACGGGGATTCTCACTTCCCCTCCGCAACGGCCGGCCGGGGTGCAGGTGCCGCTGAGCCCCGCAGGCGCCGGCGGGCGGGCCCTGTGGACACGCCCTCCCGGGGACGCTGCGCTGCCCGGAGGGAGGAAGCGCCAGAGCCGCGGCCGGTGCGAGCGCAGCCGGCGCCCCTCCGCTCCGGGCAGCGGCCCCCGCGCGCGGCGAGCCGGGCATGAGAGCGGCCCGGCGGCATGGCAGCCTCAGGTGCGTAGGCGGAGCCCCGCGCCGGGTCCCCTCTCCCTTCCGCGCTCTCTGCCCCCTGCCCCCCGGCTCCCCGCTCGGCGGGGCCTCCGGTGCAGACCCGTGTTCTTCTGTTCTTTCCCCGGGTCCCGGCCGCAAACCTCCCACCCGACTTTCCCCCGCTCCCCTTCCCAGCCTGTGGCGCGAGTCTTTGCAGCCCCTGCCGGGCCCTCCTCGGCCCCCAGCTTCTAAGTCTGCTTTTCGCCCTCGTCAGCAGCTCTCGGACCTTCTGAGGGTCGTTTCCCCTGTTCTTCCAACTCTGCGAACCCAGAGTCCGAGGTAAAGAAGGCAGAGCCGGCTGGTCGGCGCCGGCGAAACGCTTCTCGGGCCGATAGGGGGCGCCCGGGCCGTCCCAGGTTGGCCCTGGGGGGTCTCCGCGGCCCTGGGGCCACAGCCCGCTTCCTCTCCCCTCTAGGCTTTGTTTTTCCTCTGGAATTTCGGTGGGAACCTAGGAACACCAATTCCTTCAGCTTTACTTCTGTGTCCTTTGCAGAACTTTGGAGAATGGGGACCACTGGGTATCTATCCATCTAAAGGTGCCAGCAGGCTGATTAATCTCTGAGTTCCTCTTGGTTCCTGGGTGTGTACCCTTGGCAAGCCACTCACTCGCTGCAACTTAGGATGAACCGTATAATAACGATGAGAGTAGAGACAACGAATGAGCACTTACGACGCACGTTGAGGGATAATTTGCTTGCACCTAAATATGTTCTCAAATGGCGCCCAGGACACGCTGGTCTCTGCTCCCGCGTGCACAGGCTTGTGGAGAGAAGCAGAAACAAAGAATTCCTAGAGGAGAATATTACAGTTACCATGTTTGCAAGTGGGTTTACTCGTGCTTTCCTTGCTCATCTTATGACGTTTTAGTAGCGATAACCCGTGAAAAGAGGATGTAAAAGCCTCTTGAAAAACAAAACCTAGCTGGCCGGGGAAGGCACCGCTCTTGGAGGATGTGGGCAGAGGCTAGAGCCCCCGAGATCTAGCCTTCCGATGGCGCTTGGGAAGCAGGGGTCGGAAAGGCCGATGCTGACATTCTCTTAGCCTTGGCGACACAGGTTTCCTATGTAAGGGCCGGCGGTGGAGCGGTCGCTCACCGCCTCCTGCCTCCCTAGCGAGGCTCTGGAGGTCAAGAAGCTGTACTGTGAAGAGGGAACCCTTGCTAACAGCAGGTTCACCCGCGCACTCCATTGGAGAGCTGAAGCAGAATTATCTGGAGGGGATTCATTCACGCAGCACATACTGCATGCCCGCCTGCTGTTTCTAGGCACTGCTCTGGGTGTCAAGTGTACGTTCAGTAAACGAAACAGACGGAAGCGATGTCCCCATGCAGCTTATGGAGGGGTGGGGGAAGGCAGACAATACACTTAAGGAGGAAAAGACAGGATAGGAGAAGTGCATGGGAAAACAATCGAGGGGTAAAGGGGGCTGGGGTTATAATTTTAAACGAGGCAGCTAGGTTAGTCTTCGTAAACATTTGAGCAAAGACCTGAAGTGTGTGTGTGTGTGTGTGTGGGTAGGCATTGGGGGGAGGGTACTCCAGGTAGAAGAACAGTCAATGGGTGTATGTGGTGTATTGAAGGAGCAGTTTGCCAGAGCAGGTGGGTGATTGGGGAGAAGTAGGAGATGAGGTGAGTGAAGTGCCCATCTCCTTCTATGGCTGGGAACAGGCCCTGGGCTGTTAGGCCTGGGAAGCAAACGGGGCAGGGATGGGGGTTGGCGGAGGAGGCGGAGGAAGCCCTCCCTTAGAGTCCTGTGTGCATCACTCAAGTGAGTGTGGCTGAAGGGGCTAGACGGGGTGCTCCCATGCTGATAGGAACTCAAAGCCAGTGGCCAACCCTGAGGTTTATGGGCCCTGTAGTGGCTTCTGCAGACGCCTATGATGGTTGGAAGTGTCAGCATCCTCTGCGGCGAGGTGCTGCAAATAGGAGTTGGGTCTCTGGGGCCCTTGGGGCTCCCTGAGGTCTGGAGATACAGTGACCCATGGTGGCAGCTCACAGTGGTGAGAGCATCTCTTGCCAAGATGCTGTAGGCTCTGGAGTCATCCAGGTCACTCTTCCATGTTGTCTTCCTCTCCCCCTTCTCCTCTTCTTCCTCCACCTTCTCCTGCTCCTCCTTTTTCTCCCCCTCCTTTTCCTTCTCATTTTAAACTGCTTTATTGAGATATAATTCACATACAATACAATCCGCTCATTTAAACTGTACAATTCAGTGGTTTTTAGTATCTTCACACATATGCACAACCATCACCACCGTCAATTTCAGAACATTTTCATCACCTCAAAAAGAAACTTCTTCTGTTTCAGCTACCACCCCCTGCTTCCCTCCTTCTCCCCATTCCCAAATTCTACTCTCTGTCTCCATGGATTTCCCTACTCCGGACTTTCATATAAATGGGATCATGTAATATGGTGACTGGCTTCTTTCATGGAGCATAATAATTTCTAGGTTCATCCAGGTTTAACATGCATCAGCAGTACCTCATTCCTTTTCATGGCTGAATCATGTGGTTTCCTTAAATTTCCTTCTACTGACGGGTAATCATTAGTCTTTTGTTTTTGAAAGACATATTTGCGTGTTGAAATCAAGGAAAATCTTGGCTCCCTGTCCTTGGCATCTGATGGCACCTCTTGAATTTGCGCATGAGAGAGAGGAGAAGGAGGCCATACATAACTTTCCTTAGTGGCCGAGTGTGGTTGATGAAGACTAGAATTGTTTTCTCCATGCGTCATCTTCAGACCTTTGAAGAAAGCTCTCCTACCTCTTCCTGCTTATCTTATCTCCAGATCCTTCTACCATCCTTGTACTTATAGGAAAACAAGGCTTGAAGGAACCTTTAATTTTTCCATCTGATCCTTGAGGTCCCTCAGTACTCTTACCAAGTTTCTAAACTTGAAATCTTCAGAGTCTGAAAATTCTGAGCAACTTCCAGCTCTCTCCCTACGCCGGTGACCTTCCCTATGTCACATCCCTTTTCAGTGCAGATTCAAACATGGGGCTCCAGGACAGATGTATCATGTGCCAGTGCCACCCACAGATTAAAGAAAAGGTCTGGGCTGAGAAGCACTTCCTCTTTGTTCTCTCCTCAGGTGGATTCTGAATCTTTTAAAGGAACTGCTCAGCCACTGTGTTTCTTACCGCGACCCTCACTCCCTATTGCCACCAGCCAGCCCCCTGCTCTTCTGCTTTCCTTCCTCTCTCCTTCTAGAGCCAAACCTGTCCCTTAAGCTCTACAGAGACCTTTTCCAGTCTAGCAGTTATGACCACTTGTTGGTTCAAGTATTTCATTTCTTTTAATAACCAAAAAATGAGAGAATTGAGTTAGCATATTTGAAGAAGTGATTTCTGGTTAAAGGAAGGGAATTATTCTTGAAGAAAGGGGTGCCCCCTATAGGAGACAGAGTTGCTTACAAGGCATTTAGACCTTTGTCATTGCTTAGCATGTTGTGGAGGGACTTTAATTTTCACTTTGGACTTTTTGTTGTTGTTGTTTTTTTTTTTACAACTTCCCCAGCTTTCAATTTCAGCAGCAGAGCAAAATCCAGGATGGCGACAGATCCCTTTGTCCTCATTTACATTGAGGCAAAATTTGCTTAGATTTAGTATATTGGTCGGAAGTCACACTACAAGTTGGTGGTGACCAAATAAGTTGTGATATTAACTGGTCTGAGGAAGTGACCACTTCCTTCTCAAGAACTTTTGCTCAAGGGGGGGGGGGGGGATGGGGGAGAGGGAGGGGGTAAAATTTAACACCAGACCCCCTGGAATGAGACATTTTAAATATGTATATTTGTGTGAAGATACTAAAAGCCTTGTTTCATTAGAAGAGGCCAATCTCATAAGTGCTTTTTATTTCAACTGTATATTTAAATTTTTATTTTAGATGTTTAGATGTTTTAGATTTATAGAAAAACTGTGAAGATAGAGAGTTCCTGGATACTCCACACTCAGTTCCCGCTGTTACTAACATTTAAACTTTCCTTGACGACAAGAGATCTTTAATGAACCACAGGTTTTGTGATGTCTGTTAACAGAGAGGCAGGGAGTGGTGAGTACTTATTCCCTCTGTGGCCTAGAAGTCGTCAATCTTAAATCTGCTGTTTTGCTTTTGAGTCACTATGTCCTCATAAAAGTGACATAAGTGGCTCAGGGCCACGTGGTCAGGGCTCTGTAGTCACTGGTTTCCTGCTCATCAGCCAGTGCTCCAGGAGCCACACTGCCTTGTTTTTTTAAAAATTTGAGTAGAGAGAGAAATGTGGATTTGTTGTTCCGCTTATGCCTTCATTGGTTGCTTCTGGTATGTGCCCTGATGGAGGACTGAACCTTTAACCTCGACGTACTGGGATGATGCTCTAGGCCAGTGATGGCGAACCTTTTGAGCTCGGCGTGTCAGCATTTTGAAAAACCCTAACTTAACTCTGGTGCCGTGTCATATATAGAAATTTTTTGATATTTGTAACCATAGTAAAACAAAGACTTATATTTTTGATATTTATTTTATATATTTAAATGCCATTTAACAAAGAAAAATCAACCAAAAAAATGAGTCACGCGTGTCATAGGTTCGCCATCACTGCTCTAGGCCCACACTGTCTTCTTAAGGGAACTTCTTCTGCTCTAGCAAGTCTCTTCTTCACTCTTCTTCACTTCCTTGCCATCACTTGTCAACCCATTGAGGACAATGCCAACGGCTTCTTCATCACTAATGTACAGGACCACAGCCTTTCTGAGATCTCATTCTTAACCCATTTAGTCTTGGCTCTGTGACTAATTACTGAGTGTGAATTTAAGTAATTCCCTTCATCTTCACAGCTGAAGTGTTTGTTTATCTGTAAAACAGGCATTTGGGCCAAGTGATCCCCAAAAGACACTCTCCCCTGCACACACGCTATTTAAATCCTCACCCAAGGACAATTTTTTTTTTTTTTTTTTACTGATTTTAGAGTGGGGAAGGGAGAGAGAGAGAAAGAGAGAGAGGTGAGAGAAACATCAATTGGTTGCCTCTTATATGCGCCTCAACTGAGGACCAAGCCCACAACCTAGGTACGTGCCCTTTTGGTGCATGGGATGATGCTCCAACCAACTGAGCCACCCTGGCCAGGGCCCCCAAAGCCCTGCTTAACTCAATCGTGAATTGTACCAGCCATGGGGGGAAGAGTAGGCCAGCAGAAAGCAATAGCTAATGCAAGCATCTGGCGTGGCATTGCATGTTTGGGCAAAAGCAGAGCCTGGTACAGTTGTACCACCAGCTGGAAGCGGGGAAAGAAGTCAAACAGGCCTGCTGGAGGTGGACAGTGGAAGACCGTGGGTGCCCGGCTCTCCATCGGGATGGTATATCTTGCAGGTCATGGAAAGCGGGCGTGTTGACATAAGGGTCTTGTTCTTGCTCAGGGGTGTTCCGAAGGTGTGACATTCTCTTGGTGTACAGCCCGGACGCGGAGGAATGGTGCCAATACCTCCAGGACCTTTTCCTGTCCAGCCGGCAGGTCCGTGGCCAGAAGACGCTGACTTACCGGCTGGGCCCGGACACTTTCTTCTCAGCTGAGGACCTGACCTTCTTCCTCAGCACGCGCTGCATCGTGGTGCTGCTGTCCGCCGAGCTGGTGCAGCACTTCGGCCAGCCGACCCAGCTGCCGCTGCTGCAGAGAGCCTTCCACCCGCCGCAGCGCATGGTCCGGCTGCTCTGCGGGGTGCAGAACTGCAAGGAGTTCCTGGACTTCTTTCCAGAGTGGGCGCACTGGCAGGAGCTCACCTGTGACGACGAGCCCGAGACGTACGTGGCAGCTGTGAAGAAGGCCATTTCTGAAGGTAAGGGTCTCCTCTGAGGTACAGATGAGCGAGCCCTAGAAGAATGGCTAACCCTGCCCCGGCCGGGCGCTCAGTTGGTTGGGGTGCTGTCCAGCACACCAGGAAGCTTGCAGGTGCCGTTCCTGGTCGGGGTGTGTAGGAGACAGGGATTGATGTTTCTCCCTCACATCCGTGCTTCTCTCTTCCTCTGTCTCACACTCTCTCTTCCTCACTCTCCCTCTTCCTCTCTCCTTTCCTCTCTCTAAAATCAATAAAACATCCTTGGGTGAGGATTAAAAAAACAAAACAAACAGTAACCCAGGCCCTAGGCATTTCAGGTGAGACTCCGTCATGTCGACACTAGTCATTTATAGTACAAAACGCACCTGGACCTCACTATGCTAAGAGCCCCAGCTGTATTCATTGGTGTAGAGCAGCCTGCTCCTGGGATGGGATCATGATAGGATAGGTCTCTGGGACCGAAGGTGAGGAAGGTGAACCTTTCCCTTGGGTTCTGAGCTCAGACAAAAGCCTGTTGGAATTTCCTACACTTTGAGAGATGCAGGACACAGGTTCCAGCCCAGGAGAGGGCAGTGGGGGTGGGAGGATGAGACTTAGTTTGGTGGGAGTGTGAGGAACAAGACTGCCAACCTTCTGGCTTGCAAGCCATTTCCATTTTACCATCACTTGACTGTAAGATTTTTGTTGAAAAGGTATCACTTTTGGATAACATATTTATAGGGAAACAACCGTCCGTTTCCCGCCAGCCTAGCTTCTGTTTTTTGCCCTGTTTCTTCTTGTAAAGTGGGAAAATTCCGATCCTCTCTGCCAGGCCTAATGACTTGAGTGGCCCAGGAAGTATGACGTACACTCTGATGAACAGTAACGGAAGATATACTTTTGGATGAATACATGTCACAGGCTTTCTTCCTCTTTTTGTTTTCCATTCTTGCCTCACCGTGGGCTATGAGCAGGCTATGCGTTTTCTTCTGTTCTCTTAAGATCTTGTAAACCCGATGCCAGCAAAGAAGCCTGGAAAATTATGGAGTGATGTAACTATGTTCAGTTATCCCTGGTGGGACTTGGGCATTAATTTAATTCATCCTCCCCTATCTATCTCATTTAGTGAACCGAATTAAGAATTCACAAATTTTTATTGACCTTAAAAAGTTAAGGTCACTAGTCATTTATGTGACAAAATGAGCTGGGGTCCCACTCATTATCAATTAGAGCATGCAAAGATGGAGGGGGTGGCCTTTGGAGATGATGAAGCTCCCTGGCTGGCGTGGCTCAGTGGTTGAATGTCGACCTATGAACCAGGAGGTCATGGTTCGATTCTGGTCAGGGCACAGGCCCAGGTTGCAGGCTCGATTCCCATTGTGGGGCTTGCAGGAGGCAGTCAATCAATGATTCTCTCTCATCACTGATTTTTCTATCTCCCTCTCCCTTTACCTCCCTCTCTGAAATCAATAAAACTGTATTTAAATTAAGAAAAAGTTAATACTGTATAACTCCCTAGATGCTTTTATATCAGGAATAGTTTGCTTTAAATCAATAAGTACAAGCAGGTCATGGAACACAGTGGGACCCCAGCTCATTTTGTCACATAAATGACTAGTGTTAGCCTAAAGATCTCACCTGAGATGCTTGGGACCTAGATTAGCAATTTTTCCTGGGTTTGCTTATTTTTATTTCAGAAGGACACGATCACGATGGTAGAAAAAGCACACGATTCATACTTGCTTGGTCACACTTCATTGATTTGAGAGAGTTTTGATCTGCCTACATTTACAAAGAAGTGAGACACAACTGGTTATTTCTGTGGATTAGATTATGTCACTGCAATGGTTCATTATAATCTTGTGGGCTGGCCACTGGGACCCACCCACCAATCAATCAGAGCTCCCTGGATGAAATATCACTGTACTGGCACCTCATGCTCTATCCTCTAACTGATTTTTCTTTAAAACATTACAGTGGTGTTATTTTTAAAAATTGGTGGTAAAAAGGATTTTTAAAATATTGTTTGGATTGCTCACTTTGGCACTAAAATCTTGTTTGGATGTATTCAATGTTTAGATGCCTGGATAAATTGATTGCCTGTATTTTACTTTTTACTAGCAACTCTGGCTCAGTATGCTATGAGTGTTTAGTGTCAAGTGTTTCAGAAAGAATGAAGTGTTTCATAGTGGTGTTCCTGTTCTGAGAGCAAAGAAACTTTCATGAGAAAGTCGATTTTAATGAGAGAGTAAAATAAGCTGCTTAGTAGAAAATCTCTGCAGCTCAGAATCGGTGGATACAGAGGGACAAGTGGAATTCTAGGAAACAGAGGAGGAAGGAGCCACATGGCTTCAGTGTAACTTGTTGGTATTAGATTTGTGAATTTGGGGGTTTGAGGTGTGTAACAGGATGGCTTGGATTTGCTTTTGGGGTCTCCATAGCCATTGCCTTTGGTCAGCCCAGTTATGTGCAATAGCTCTGATTTTTATGCTAGACAAGTATTCTTTAAAAAAAAATTGTTTTTAAATTGATTTCAGAGAGGAAGGGAGAGAGAGATGGAAACATCAATGATGAGAGATGAACACTGGTTGGCTGCCTCCTGCAGGCCCTCCCACTGGGGATCGAGCCTGCAACCCGGGCATGTGCCCTGATCAGGAATAGAACTGTGACCTCTTGGTTCATAGGTCAATGCTCAACCACTGAGCCACACCTGGCCGGGCCAGACAAGCTTTCTTAACAAACTTAAGACTCTGAGCCTGGCAATGTAGCAAAAAGACCTTTGAACTGCGATAGAGGCACTCCATTGCCTGGCTCTGCTGCTAAGGAGATGGCTAATATTGGGCAAGTCACTCAGCTTCTTTGGGTTTCACTTTCCTTTTCTGTAGGAGGCGGAATTAGACTTGACCTACGACATTTTCCAGGGCTAATAGTCTACAACTCTCCTAGGCTAGGGAGTCTCAAACATTTTTGAAGCATCACCTTCTTGCCCTATTTCACACCTGCTTTGATTCCCAGGAAGCTTCAGGCTAAAAGAATGTTTAAGGATAGTATTATCCCCGACACTGGAAATCTGGCATAATTATGTCCTTGGTTACATTCTCTATAAATTGTGATAGTTTATTTTAATACTCTACTTGTACCTGTGAGGTTTTCCTAAGGTATCCCAAAATAAAAGCAAAAAATAAAAATTTCATATACCCCACTACTATAAGCTGCCCCAGGTCTATGAGAAATAAATACCTGAAACTTGTTTCTTTGACTTTGTGCATTAAAAAAAATCCAAGTGGGAAATGTAATGAAAATTTGATAAAGGGATAAACTACTGGTAGGGCCAATAATCATGGGGTTATGATTGTAGGGTTATTGAAAGCTACGGGGAGACAAATTTCAGGAAAGCTTAATATCAATTAGAGCATGCAAAGATGGAGGGGGTGGCCTTTGGAGATGATGAAGCTCCCAGAATATTTATATTTACATTGTTTCTTAACTTTGAGATGTTTTGTGAAAAAAACATGACTACTTAATAAGATATTCAATGAGACCATTTAAAATGTAGGCTAATTTTTAGACCATTTAAAATTTAAAATAAGGCCTAAAGATCAATAGTGCCCAACTGGCATGGCTCAGTGGTTGAGCATCATCAACCTACGAACTATGAGATCATGGTTTGATCCCCAGTGTGGGCATGCAGGAGGCAGACAATCAATAATTCTCTGCTCATTGGTGTTTCTATCTCTCTCTCCCTCTCCCTTCCTCTCTGAAATCAATAAAAATATTTTTTTTTAAAAAAAAGCTTTAGAGAGTAGAACTGGTAAAGGAGGTAATTATTCCAGAAACTTAGGTTAAATGCAGTTACCAGTCATCAATTATACTTTTTCTTACTGCTGCGTTATGTAAATAAGTGTTTCTCAGGAGACCCTGGGGATCTTGAACTACACATATTCTCACTCTGTAGGTTTGGGTGGGGCCCAAGATCCTGCATTTCTAACAAGCAGCCAGGTGATGCTGTTGCCTCCGGTCAGGGGTCCACATTGAGCAAGGTTCTAAGCCACCCTCTCTTTACCAGGTCAGGGGTCACGCACCTCTGCTGTGCATGGACCATTTTCTCACTTTTCTGGAAATGGAGGCATCATCACATCAGGGCGACTCCTGGATGCCCATTGATTTCAATATAAAATTAGGCTAGTGTTGGCCCTGAGGCCAGCAGATTTCAGGGTAGAGCTCCTAAATTCTCTTCCTATGCCCCTGCTCACAGAGTCCATGAGTTAGCTCTGGCAGATTTTAATCTCTTAGTTTTCCAGATGTAAGTAAGTCGTCCTGCTATTGGAGTAGAGGCACACTTTCATCACAATCCTTACGGCTTCTTCATTTAATAGGCCCGTTGTTCATAATTACTACTCCACTAAAAATGTTTTAGAGGTTTTGTTTTCCACCCCCTCTTTTCAAATTTATCAGCTACCTTAAAATCGAGCAGATGTTTTAATTAGAGACTTCAGTGTGTTGGAGCAGCCAATTTATTTCTCAAGATCTTCATCTGCGAAATGATGGGTTGGACCAGATGATGTAGAAGGCTGCTTCCAGCCCCTGCGCCGTAATATATTATTATAAGTTTTCTAAGCAAATTACCTAGAACTTTTCACGGATGCAGTTTAGTTCCAAAATGTCTGCAGGGATATATATTCAGTGCATAAAAGACTATATTGTTGTTCTGAAACTTTGGACGTGTTGGGTGATTATTTTAAAAGAAGGAAGTGAGAAAACCCCAGTTACAGCACAGAAATTATTTCCTCTTTACTGGAACTCTATTCTCTGCTGCAAATCTCACTGGAATACAAAAATAGATTTGTGAGCCTGTGTGGGAAAGGACTTGGTGGGCGATATTGAGTTTTATTTCAAAAGTTCTCATCGTTGTGTGTGTTTGTCTGTGTGGAGGAGGAAGGGAAGCACTATCTCTGATTCTCCTAGTATGATTCAGAGATCTTGTCTGCTTCTTTATGTGATTTCTTTTCTCTTTGCCTCCT